TAGAGTATTGGCATAAAAACAGATATATAGACAGTGGAACAGAAAAGAGTTTAGAAATAAATCCACACATATACAGTTAATTAATTGATGACAAAGGAGCCGAGAATATTCAGTGGGGGAAAGGACAGTCTCTTCAGTAAATGATGCTGAGAAAACGGGACAGCCACATGCAAAAGAATGAAACTGGACCAATATCTTACATCATACACAAAAATTAACTCCAAATGGATTAAAGACTTAAACACAAGACCTGAAACCATAAGACTCCTAGAAGAAAACATAAGAATATTTTTTTAAATCTGGCACCAGAAGCAAAAGCAATAAAATCAGACATAAACAAATGGGACGACATCAAACTATAAAGCTTCTGCACAGCAAAGGAAATCATCAACAAAATGAAAAGGCCACCTACAGAATGGGAGAAGATAATTGCATATCATATATCAGATAAGGGCCTAATATCCAAAATAACAAAGAATTCATACAGAACAGCAAACGATCTGATTTAAAAATGGGCAAAAGATCTGAACAGACATTTTTCCAAAGAAGACATACAGAAGACCAACAGGTACATGAAAAGATATTCAACATCACTGATCATCAGGGAAATGCAATTCAGAACCACAATGAGATATCACCTTCTACCTGTCATAATGGCTGTTCTCAAAAAGACAAGAAATAACAAGTATTATTGATGGGGATTTGGAGAAAAGGAAGTTGGTGAGAATGTAAATTGGTGCGTCCACTATCGAAAATTGTGTGGAGATTTCTCAAAAAATTGAAAATAGAACTATCATATCATCTGGCAGTCCCACTTCTGGGTACTTATCTGAAGGAAGTAAAAATACTAACTTGAAAAGATACCTGTATCCCTATGTTCATTGCAGTGTTATTTAACAATAGTAAAGACATGGAAACAACTGTGCATCGATGGATGAATGGATAAGGAAATTGTGTGTATACACGTGTGCGTGCACACACACACACACAGACACACACTGGAATAGTATTCAGCCATAAAATATGAAATTTTGCCATTCATGACAACTTGGATGGACCTCAAGGGCAATACGCTAAGTGAAATAAATCTGAGAAAGACAAATACTGTATGGTCTCTCTTTTATGTGAAGTCTAAAACAAAACAAAACAAAAAAAACTGTTCATAGGTACAGAGAACACTTAGGTGGTTGCCAGGAAGTAGGGGTAGAGGAGTAATGGATGAAAGAGATCAAGAGGTAAAAAGAAAAAAGGCAGTAAATCACACACAAAAGTTATTGAAGTTAACAAAATAGGGCCATATATGTATTTATATGGCACCATTCTCATTTCTCTAGCAACCTCAGTCTTCCAGATATAACTGCAGTGGGGAAGTATTGAGAATAGGAAATTAGTACTAAGTTTGCTGTTCTTCTTTCAGTTGTGCTATGTTTGATCGTCTCTAAAAATGTCATGCCACCATGAGTTGGTAATTATATTATCCTAACAATTTTAATAAATATATTCAAGAAGTCTTTTTTATAATATTTGTCATCAGCTTTGCCATGCATACCATTATGTTAAAGGTCCTACTAGTGCAGTAAGGCAAGAAGAACAAAAGGCAGTAATCCATATTAGAAAGGAAGAAATGAACTTATGTTTATTTACCGATGTGATATAGAAAATACAGAGAAGCTACTAGAGCTGATAAATTTAGTAAGTTTGCAATATACAAAATCAGTATATAAAAGTCAATTCTGTTTCTACATATTAGCAACAACCAATCAGAATCTGAAGTTAAGGCAGTGCCATTCACAATAACATCAAAATAGGAAATACTGAGGGACAAATCTGAAAATTCAAGTGTAAGACCTATATACTGAAAGCTACAAAATATTTTTGAGAGAAAATAATGGAGGCTTCAGCAAATGGAGAGATATACTGTATTTATTGGTTGGAAAACTCAGTATTGCCAGTACTTCCATTCTCCAGAATGATCTATCATTCTATTTTGTAGAAATTGATAAACTGATTCTCAAATTCTGTGGAAATGCAAAGAACCTAGAATAATAAGAAAAATTTTGAAAAAGAACAAAGTTGGAGAATGTTTCATGATTTCAGGGATTTACTGTACAGCTGTGGTAGGTAGTCTCCAATTGGTGTTAAGATAGATCTATAGATTGGAGCAGAATAGAGTCTAGAAACAGATCAATACATATATGGACAACTGATTTTTGACAAAAGTGAGAAATCAGTTCATTGGAGAGAGGATAGTCTTTTCCATTTGCTGGAACAATGAACTTTTCATATGTAAAAACAGAACAAAGAACCTCAATCCATACTTTGCAGCATACATAAAAACAAACTCAAAATAAATGGTAAATCTAAATATAAAACCTAAAAAGCATTTCTAGAAGAAAACACAGGTGAATTAAGGTCTGAGTTAGGGATTTCTTCTATGTGCCACCAAACTGAGATCCATAAAAGGATAATTTGAGCTTCATCAAAATAAAATATTTCTGTCCTTTGATAGATACCATTAAGAGAATGAGAAGACAAATTATGGTCTAGGAGAAAATATTTGCTGATGACTTGTATCTAGAATATATAAAGAACTCTCAAAACTCAGTACTAAAAAACCAATTCAATAGAAATGTGCAAAACATTTGAACAGACACTTCACTAATGAAGATATAGGGAGGGGCACCTGGGTAGCTTAGTTGGTTAAGCATCCAACTCTTGATCTTGGCTCAGGTCTTGATCCTCAAGGTTGTGAGTTCAAACCCTACACTGAGGCCCCATGCTGGGTGTGGGTGTGGAGCCTACTTAAAAAAAAAAAGATGATGATGATATAGGGATGGCATATAAACGTACATGAAAAGAAATTCAACATCAGTCATTAGGAAAATATGAATTAAAACCACAGTGGCATACTACTGCACACTTTTTATGAATGGTTAAAATTTAAAAATCCCAATAATACTGTTGAAAGGATGTGGAGAAATGAACTGGTCAGGATGTAAAGTGGTACAACCAGTTTGGAAAATGATTTTGTAGTTTCTTATAACAAGTTAAACATATTCTTACCATGAGATCTCCTAAATATTTCCCCAAGAGAAGTGAAGGCATGTGTCCGTATAAAATATTTAAAAATATATATGTGTGTGTGTGTGTGTGTGTGTGTGTGTGTGTATGTTTATAACAGGTTTGTTGGTAACAGCTAACAACTGGAAAAATCCCAAATATGCTTCAGTAGGCAGAAACCTAAACAAATAATGATATATCTACACAATGGAATATTGCTTAACAATTAAACAGGTATGAAGTGTTGATAGAGACAGCAACATGGATGAATCTTACAAAAATTCTGAAGGAAAGAACCCAGGTTAAAAAAAATGAATGGAGCGATAATTGTGTGGAGGTTCCTCAAAGAATTAAAAATAGACCTGCCCTACGACCCAGCAATTGCACTGTTAGGGATTTACCCCGAAGATTCAGATGCAATGAAACGCCGGGGCACCTGCACCCCGATGTTTCTAGCAGCCATGTCCACAATAGCCAAACTGTGGAAGGAGCCTCGGTGCCCATCGAAAGATGAATGGATAAAGAAGATGTGGTTTATGTATACAATGGAATATTCCTCAGCCATTAGAAACGACAAATACCCACCATTTGCTTCAACGTGGATGGAACTGGAGGGTATTATGCTGAGTGAAGTAAGTCAATCGGAGAAGGACAAACAGTGTATGTTCTCACTCATTTGGGGAATATGAATAATAGTGAAGGGGAATATAAGGGAAGGGAGAAGAAATGTGTGGGAGATATCAGAAAGGGACACAGAACATAAAGACTTCTAACTCTGGGAAATGAACTAGGGGTGGTGGAAGGGGAGGAGGGCGGGGGGTGGGGGTGAATGGGTGACGGGCACGGAGGGGGACACTTGACGGGATGAGCACTGGGTGTTATTCTGTATGTTGGTAAATTGAACACCAATAAAAATTAATTTATAAAAAAAATGAATGTCTAATTACTTTTACATAAAATTCTGGAAAAAGCAAACTAATCTAGAGTGACAGATCGGATTAGTTAGGGGGTGGCGAGGAAGGGGCAGGAAAGAGGAGGAAGGACAGAGAAGCCTTTTTGGGTTGATGAATTTGTTCACTATATTAACGATGGCAATGATTTTGTGTGTGTGTGTCAAAACTTAAGTTGCAAACTTTAAATATGTGTAGTTTATTGGATACAGTTGGACACATTCTTATACCTCAGTAAACCTAAAACAAAACAAAAAACACGGTGCAAGCTCTGCTGTTAGAGAGCCTGGATAAAAGATGGATAATAACAGGGCCCAACTCTTAGGGTTATTGTGAGGACTTGGTGTTAACATGTGTTCAGAGACTAGACCAGGGCCTGACTCAGAGACAAGAGTCTTCTACTGGGTCACCAGCTCTTTGTGAGCAAAGTACCATGTGTCTGCCACCTTCTTGTCTAGTGTGAAACTTGATGGGTATTTATTGGTATAATCCTCAACCTCTGTCATTGAACAGTGCAAAAAATGTTTTGACAAATTTTAAACCCATACTTAAGTAACAGAATTAGCATCTTCCAGACATGTGCAGTATGAATAAATATTGAAAAAAGAACTAAGGACTGTGGCAGACCCTGCTCTGGACTAATTTGCAAATTATTGTATGTTTAGAATTAAATGGGAAATACTTGAAATGTTACATTGTCTTAGAGAAGCATCTTTATTTTTATTTGTACACATACACACCAGTGTGTGTATATCATACATATTTCCTGAAAATTGTTTCCTTTGAGCACTTGAATGTGGCTGTCACTCTTGTTTCTTTGACTTATTTTAGAATGCAGTTAAGTCCTTGGGAAAATCACTTATGTCATCAGTGAGGAATGTCACCAAAATAGCTTCTCACTTAAGTTCCCATCCCCAGAGCTAACCCACAGGAGGTTCCGATAAATTCTAATATTTAATAACTTGTATTTTTCTTTCTCCTTTAACACAGGCCCTCTGGTCCTGGAGGCAGGATCATGTGGTGGATTGTTGGCAGTCAGCAGTCTGTGGAGCTTTTGCAGGTGCAAAGGATTATATTATACTGGGAAAGACCAAAGGGGGGAGAAAAATGTGAAAATATTAACTATGCAAAAACAACATTCTTTAGAAATTCCAGATTGTTTAGATGAAGAGAGTTCCACTAGTTGTTTGAGAAAAGAGTGTCTTAGGGAAAAAAAGAACTGCTAAAAAGGTGTCTGCTTGAAAGACAACCAATTTGTTTTTGACAAATTTTTCTTTTTTCTTCTTATCTTTATTAAAGCCTTCACTCAGGCCCTTGGATTATCTTAAAGATGATTTATAAAGTCCTCTCTGGGAAGAGACTTGCTGTGGGTGCAGGGCTAACTGTGCAGCTGTCTGCCTTGAGCAGTGCTTTGGGGGTTTCAGTGATTTCTGCAGAAGGCAATGATTCACGGTTCGTGTGACATGTTTGACAGCCCCACAGATTAACTAGTGTCAGGAGAGCTGAGACTGCTCAGCAAACTTACCGAAGGCTAAACGGGTCTGTGGAGAAAATATGGAGATCTAAACATCTGGGCATTTTCTAGACATTAAACCAAGAGCAAAGCGACAATATGCAATACTGTGTTATCCATTGCTAAATCGTGTGCATTTTCCAGTGAGGTTGTAATAAGAACTCAGGTGCTTTAAAAAATTAAATAAGTGATAGTTTTAATGGCCTAAGAGAGAGGTACATTTTGCATTACAAATGAAGGTAATTTAGAATTATGGTTGAAATAAAACAAAGTGGAGATTTGCCAGAAATTGTAGACTGCTAGTTTAGATGTGTAGCCAGTAAATAGATATGTAGTTTTAGGATGTGCACTTTATTAGAAAATAATAAGGTTGGTTTTTTTCCAATTTGTTTAATGGTTGTTGGATTGGGTTTTTTGTTGTAGTGATTAGGGAAACAAAAAACATGTATTTTATAGGATTCTTTATTAATAATTGAACCCATTTGACTTGCAGAATTGATAATCAAAAATAAGAACCTTGCTTCTAGACACAAAGCCCACTCAGATTGATTATGACAGGTAATTGTTTCCACATGACACATAGTCATTAGCTATGTTAAATGAGTAGGTGGTCTTGATTCACTTTCCAGAGGTCAAGAGTCTTTGCTCCCCAGTCCTTAAGAGAAATGTGTGATTTTTTTTTTTTGAGTCCTTCCAAGAGACAAAGTGAGCATTATGGAAATTTAGTCATCCTGGGTAAGGAAGGGCACATCTTAAATGTAGCAATACCATAAAACTTCCTTGTGTTGAAGCAAGAAGTATATATTCTCTGGTCCCGTTCTTGAAGTAGCTAATTCAAAGATTTGCTTACAAGCATTGTTTCTATGAAGGAAATGTGCATTCACTACAGTCTTTTTCCAAATAATGCTTTGTGATAAGCACTAAGCGCTTAGATTAGAAGAACAGGAAGAGAAACTTTATCAGCCATCCACTGGGCGGTAGGTCTGGGGGGCCAGGCCCTTTCAGAGTGGAGGCTCATCTGAGAAGTGCAGCTGGGTAGCGCTCTGCCCCAGTGGCTGATGGAAGCTGCATCGTGGAGGAGGCAATGGGCTGGCCCAGAGCCACGTACCTCGTGTGGGCCCGCTTGCTGGACTCACAGAGTTGTAGGGTCTCAGCTCTGCCCCCAACTAAGGAAGGAGACTTTGGGGCCTTCTTCCTTACCTGTAACACAGATGATCCCCGCTGCCTTAGCGGGGATCACTGCAAGGATAGGTGGGGATAATGTGTGTATTGGCCCTTGTAAGCTCTGAAATGGAACTGATCGATGGGGGTATGTTTCTACTGCCGTAGCAACAGCCAACACCCAGAACATGAAAAGCTGTCTCACATTCATATTGACAGTTGCATTGAGAAAATAACATATTGATAGAGTTACTCTGTATAATCATGCAGACTGAAAAACTCCTCCAATTCAGTTCAGCTGAGGTCCTGGTAAGTGAAGGAGTTTGTCTACGTCTGCACAAATCCATTGAAGGTAGATCCCCATATAGATAGCAAAAGACAAAACAAGTATATTTTTGTTTATATCCCTCTTGTTTTAAAATTTCAGTTGGTATGTTGATCCTGAGGGATACAGTTACTATTTAAAAACCTTTGTGAAAGATAAACATCATTTAAAAATATTCCAGCTTGTGAAAAAGTGATGCACTGTGGGAGTCTGTGGTGCCAGTATGCCCACCACACTAGAGAGGACTAATGACGTGCTGTCCCAGACCACTCTTCGCAGGCCTGACGTACCTCCCCACCACGTGCTCAGACCCTGCAGCCTCACTTGGCCACCAAGGCTGTGATAAGACTGGCCTTCTATCAGAAATCAGGTTATTCATCCTTGTGCACTTTTCCAGTTTTAAACTGGTTAAATGATCCTGGATGAACCACGCTCTGTGCTATCTCTGGCACTCTTCTGTGCCCATGCTTGTTTTATAAACTACTTGGCACAAATATCCAAAAATGTCCCCTGAGATTGGAGGTGTTGATGGCTTGTCATGCTCAGAAATTCCCTTGGCTTCTGGTCAGGGGTTAAATCAGGGGAAAAAAAAAGATTTTGCCAACTTCCTCACTTCAAGTTAATTTTTAAACATAAAGCCATACTTCAGCTTAAGTAATTATGACATTTGCTACTATAGTGATATGTACTATTCTAGGGTTCTTTGGTCAGTTTCTCATAATTAACATCTACTTACGTTTTCTAAGAGAGAAGGAGCAGGACCCAAAGACAAGGGTCGGAGCGACAGAGAGGGAGAGATATTCCCATGGTTTGAAATTCTAGAATATGGGCCACCTGGGTGGCTCAGTCGGTTAAGTGTCTGGCTCTCGGTTTCTGCTCAGGTCATGACCTCATGAGTCATGAGATGGTGCCCTGCACTGAGTCCCCTCACTGGGCTCTGCACTCAGTGGAGAGTCTGCTTAAATATTTTCTCCTTCTGCCCTTCCACTCGTGCGCAGGTGTATCCTGTCCTCAAATCAATCTTTAAAACAAAAAAGAAATTCCAGAACGGAGTAAAGGATTTATCTGGGTAACAAATGAGAAGGCCTAACACAACCTTGAATCACAAACAAAAACACTTTCGCTGTTGTTGAAGCACTCTGTGTCTGAATACTTGTGTGGAAATCGTGCATAGGAGGTGCATGGAGATGCTATTCTTGCTGAGGCTCATCAGGAGAGGGGAGGCCAGGGAGGTTCCTGCATGTCAGCACTGCCCACTGCTGTCCCCACCACTTTCACAGCTGCTTCTGGGAGCTGACAGCTCCAGACTTGTTGTAGGGAGGTGGCCCTTTGTTTGGAGTGGTGAAGAACCCTAAGGATGCATGAGATGTCATTTCATTGTAAACATCCATTTTCCCCTGAACTTGGTCTTTGAAAGCAGTTGGCCTAACATTCTGTAAACACCTAACTCTTGTGGAGCCCCTAGAAAGCTATTTCATGTGTGATGTGAGCGCACAGGCAGCCTACAGTTGGCTGCACCAAATAATTATTTCCTGTCTAATAGGGTAGCATGTTCCTTGTATTTATTACTAGCAGTTTACAGTTCCCTTAAGTGAGATGTAGAAAATCACTGCATTTTAACTTTTAAAAGCACAGGTCCCCAACCCCCTCTGCACTGTAACCCATTATTTTATTACGTGATCCTCACAGGCCTTTCTTTGCAACCTCATAAAAAACATTGTGAAGGCTGTATATTAAAGCAGTCCTTGATATTTGAAGACATTAGAATTGATTTATTAATAACTCATAAAATACAGCTACCATCATAGTAAAATTAGGACCTATTTAAGCATATTTGTTTTTTTCCTTTGCCTTTTCTTCCTATTCCTGGTAGGACACAGCAGTGTCTAAGAGCATATTGGCAGGCAGCCACAGTAAGGGAAAGGTGCACTTTTGCTAATGGCCAAGACAAGTTTGATGCTTGGTGCCCACGTTTATGAGAAGACAAACACTAGGCAGGGAAGGTGAGTTAGGAAAGCTTGAGTGGTCAGACAGGGGGCAGGTAATGTCTTCGCCAACTTTTAAGGCTTCAGAGTTGGTCTAGGTTAGTTTGCGAGCATTTTCAAATAGGATAATGGTGTATGCACTTCGAAGTTTTAACAATCAGACACATTTTAATGTCTTATCATGTATCAGAGTCATCATGTAATAAATGAGCACTACTTTTGGAGCTAAGATGCATGTGGTTTTGAGTCCCAGCTCTATACTGTGTGGCCCTGAGCAAGTTGTCTATAAAGTAGAATAGTAATCCCCGTGCAAACAAGATACAGTAATTAATGACAGCACCTGGTACAGTCCCAGCGTGCCAGGTACAAAGGAGGCCCAAGTATTAGCTCTGAGCTTCCCCTTCCTCCTCTCTCTGAGAGGACGAGTTGAAACTTCGGGTTTGTAACAACTACAGATGCTTATCCAGGGCACCTGGCAAGCATTTTTGAATGCCTGCTGTGTGTGCTGGGCTAGAGCCATGAAGGAAAATAACACATTCTCTCTGCTGTTGCAGAAAAGAGGCAGTGTCCTAGACATTTGGCACAGACTCATTTAGTCCCTGTGTCATACTGTTAACTGCTTTTTACAGGTGAAAAAACTGAGGCCCGTAGCACACTCTGTGACCATGAGCTCATGTTCTGGAGTCAGTAATGTTCAAGTCTCAGCTCTGCACTAAGTAAAACCTTCTTTCTGTGAGTTCTGTAGCCTCAGTGAGCCTCAGTTTCCCTACCTGTAGCATGGGGTAGCAGTTACAGAAGTACCTGTCTCCTGTGGTGCTTTACCTCCAAAGTAAGTGCTGTACCTAAGGCCAGGCAATGAGTAGAGTAGGGGCTTCAGGCTTGGTCTCCCTGATTCTGAAAGAGTTCTTCCAGGATGGGGCCTGCAAACCCTGGCAGCCAGTGAGGGAAACAGAGTTGAATACTATCAGATTTAGGCGGGGCGTTTTGGATAATATGGTTCGCTGCCTGAAGGTGAATAAGTACCTGAATTTCAGGCAGCTTTTGAATCCCAAGGAAAATGTTTCAGATGTTCTTAGCACAAAAGTAGCTAAAACAAAAGGGGACTCTAGTACTCATGTAACTGATCATCATTAGCCTCCCGGTATGTGTCCTTTGTGAGTAATCAAAAAATGGAACATAAAAGCATGAATGGGTACATCTTTCAAAAAGTCAGTGTCATAATACACGTTACCAGAGTTCAGTGTGAGGATCTGATTTCTACAACACGTTCGTAGAAAGATATTTGGTGGAGGTCAAGTGACCTTCACATGCCACAAAAATCAGAGGGAGAGATGTTATTTCTGGAGCATCATTCGCCCCTATAAAACTGTGCAGCCTAGCTCATGGAAGCTGAATCTTTAGAAAGCCCTTTTGGGTTTATTCTTTCTATCTCCTTAAGGCCTCTTGGGGATTAAAATACATCTTTGCATCACACCAGATAAAATAAAGACACCATATACTGTGATTTCTGTTTAAAAAAATGTTCTCCAATTCCTCTGTTCGTAGATATGGGTATTAAAATGTGTGGATTTTTAAAATACTAGTTTGGCAGTCATGTATTCCATGGAAGAGAAGGTGGGAAGGAAGCTGTAGGAATTTTGCCTGTTGAATCAAGACTAACTGGAAGAGGGTGCAGAGTGGGGCCTAGAAATGTCACTCCCTGGCCTGGCCTGTTATCTGAAGCCTGCATATACAGAAAGCTTTTACTCTTTTAACTCAGAGAATTTAGTCACTAATACCAAAAGTCCTTATAGCAGTATGCGTATTTCTGTTTGCCCATTTTGTCTTAGCCCAGAAAAGACAAAGGTATTTTGGAGTCGGGATAAAGAACAGTGGTCCATAGAAGGCATGGGCCTCTAGGACTCACTGGGAGCAATGAGCTTCTCATACTGACAGTGGGTGTCTAAACATAGACACACAACCATGTATACACACAGGTTTGTTGCTCCACAAAAGAGCAAGATAAATTATGGGCCCCCCCTTTTTTTTTCCTCACCTGAGTGTATAAAGCATTATCCTGTCATCTCTTTTATGTGTGGTTTACCATCACTACAAAAGCAATGCAGCAGGTGGATTTTGCATGTGTGCATCCTCTTCTTAAATCTGTCCAGTGGGGGTAATGATTAGGGAGGTTATTTTGGCAGAATTGCGAGGAATTGTAAAATAAAAGACCACACCGTGTAACACAGTAAACAACAATACCTCCTTTATGTGTTGGGTATTTTTATATGCACAGGTGGATTTGCAGCTGCAGTCACCACACCTCTGGATGTGGCAAAAACAAGAATCACGTTGGCAAAGGTAAGTGTAAAATAACGTAATGTAGATACAACAGATGCTGGTACGTGGTAGCACTAGGGCTCCTATGTATATAAAGTGAATGAAAGCAGTGTAACACTTCCCTGTAATAGCAGCCTTATGCTGCCTCCTGGACCACTCGTGAAATGGACACATTGATTAAGACTATCCGCAGTCATACAGTGTCTGTATAGCATTTTAACCTTTACGAAATTCTCCTCAGACATTCTGTAAGCAAGTGGGGCTGTTTTTACGGGTGACAGACCTGAGGCCCAGAGAGTTGACTTGCTTCATGCTATGCAGCAGGTAAGCTAGAGGCTCTGAACTCAGGCCAGATGAATCAGGACAGTTGTCAGAATGGTTTAAAAAATTTTTTTCGGGGGATCCCCGGGTGGCTCGGTGGTTTGACGCCTGCCTTCGGCCCAGGGCGTGATCTTGGAGTTCCAGGATCGAGTCCCACATTGTGCTCCCCCGCAGGGAGCCGGCTTCCCCCTCTG